CGCGCAATGTTGGCAGACGATGTACTAGCTGCTATGCGAAGGGAAAGGCACAACAGTCAAGAGAAGCAAGCTATGCGGCAGCAAAGAAAGTGAAAACTTTTTGTTCTGACTGTGATAAGTTTTTTTGTCTAGAGTGTTTTAATGACAAGCATTATCCTATGGAATAAAGGACGCAAATAAAGCACTGAACACAGAACAACTGACACTTCATGTTTATAACCTCGTGCCTAAGAAAAAATCAAAAGAAAGTGTTCTTCTATACAGTTACTCGTAAAACCATAGCGTGGCCCACCGGTGGGCCACATCGTGCCCAATGTGTTAAGTTATTCTAAATACTCTGAAAAAATTACACTTAAACACTTGCCTCCATCAAAGTTATCCCTAAAGAACTAGTGTTAACAATATGATTCGCATACGGATATTTACTTACACTTCATGTAGTTTAGTTTAGTTTAAAAAATTCTAAATGAAAGCAGCATTTTTGAAAACGAAATAAGAGTGTGGATGTGGGTGGAAGAGATATGGATGTGGAAGTGAAGACACATGTAAGTCTAGATGGAGATAAAAATGAAATCTACACTCACATCCTTTGCTGATTAAATGGAAATTTTCATTGTTTTTCTCGATTTTCTCAATTTTTTCAACTCATCATTGACTAAAAAATTTAAAAAAAACCAGCTGTTTACGCCTTGCAAATAGTCCATGATTAAGTTATGTAGAAGTCTGATTTATATTTTCTACCAGATCAAAGCCATCAAATCCAAGAAGACCAAACAGCATCAACAAAATGATATTGATGATGAATGTGAAGCAATACAACGTTGAATGACATTATTTCACAGGAAGATCAGAGCTATCAAACTGTGTGGAATTGCTTTTTCTTAAAGGGAATACGACTGTGCCATCATAAGTTATCCAGGCAATTTGAAATGCGAGAAAGATTATACTGATACCCATTAAAACGAATGCTATAATGTCATAACGGAATTTGAATGAGTCTACAAATAGTGTCAGTATTGTACAAGTTATGCCAACCATCAAGACCAAACAAATGACGCCGCCAACGATATTGAAGGTTGGTACGAGAGGCTGAGCAGAACACTGGCTGAAATACATAATTCAAATTGTCAACTGAATAAAGATACAGCCACAGAAAGTTATGGCCATCAATATTAATACTGCAATACCAAGACATAGGTGGGCTTTTAGCAGGTCCAAGATCATTTAAAACTCAGGCATGAGTTGATAGAGGCGCAAGTTGACCTTGGTTTTCTCAATGCAGATGGAAGTACGATCTTTGTGAATTGAGGCGAGAACTGGGATGATGTTATTATCTAACGAACAAATGCGAAACTTCCCTGTCACATTCACACGTACGGACTCTCATGAATACCAGACCTATACATATAATTAACTAATGTCGTTAGGCTTTTAGGAGTATCTTCAAAGTGTTCGTAAATGCTTATGTGAGTGTTCAAGTGTTGCTCGAATACCGTACCTAGATTCGTACGAGCTCAGTTTTCAATGGAATCATTTTAGTTCTGTGTCAAGACTAATCTACATGAATTTTTGGTTCAATTGGAAGTGATCATGGATATTCATTTGTACTGGGCTGTATTTGTGGATATTTGCATCTACTTACAAGGAAAGTACCCCAAGCGATTAATCGTTTTTGAGTTTGAACTCTGTGCATAAGGTAAATTTCAGTGCAAGATGAAAAACCCCCAAAGAATAAGGGCCCATAGGCCTTCTCTCCAAAGTTATATCCATTTTACTGGAGTTTTAGCATATAGCACAGTACATACTAGTAAATCGAATGACGGTATTTTGACCTGACATTTTGCTCACAAATAGGTCTACTTGTAACTAGAATGCCATGAAATTTTTAGTCGAAAAAATGTTTCTTTCACGATATATTGAATTTACAAAATGATACGAGACTCGCATCTTTCATGGAATATGAGTGATATTTGGAAATTCAATATCTCGTGAATGGAAAATTTTTTCTAACTGAAAATTTGAGAACATTCTATCTACAGGCAAAATTCCAGGTCAAAATATCGTCATTCCATTTGTTAGTCTATACTGTGTTATGGACTAAAACTCTAGTAAAATGGGTATTGCTCTGGAGAGAAGGCCTATGGACCCTTATCATTTTGGTGTTTTTCATGCCTCACTGGGGTCTAATTCATGCACAAAGTTCGAACTCAACAACGATTAATCATTTGGAGTACTTTCCTCGTTAATGAAAAACTCCGGCACATGTTGTCTGAATTCTTTTTCTCAGCTGATTCTAATAATTTTGGAGATGTGTTGTTTCGCGTAGCTTAATGAGTACCAGCATTGTTAAACGGGAACTCAAATTAGGTTTCATCATGCAGTGTTTGTGGGTCGGTATCAGCGTGAGTCTTCGCTTAACCTAACACAGACACATACTTTAGCTGGACTATTTAACTTCCTCTGAACTTCATATGTAGATGAAAATACGATGAAGCGTTTCTAGCCTAAAACAGAACGAAAGTAAACTCAATAGAAACCATTAATTTTTTTTTCTTTCCTTCCAAATAGACAAACAAACATATATATAAATATCTATATATATATGCCAGAATATCCTTACTCACCATCAACCGATCGAAGAAAAAAACATGCTAGAGTTGTTTTTTTTCTAAAATGTATATTTACGTATGTAAAGGATGAAATTGATTCTAAAAATGAATCACGCTTATTATATGACAAAAAAAATTCAATAGGGAAAAAGCCAAGACCAAACACTGCAATGATTAATTTTTCATTACCAAAAGAGAACTGATACAAACAGTGTCAAGCCACATAACTATTTTCTTTGTCTACCTGTGAAAAAGGAACGAAAACACTACTCAAGTCGTGAGAAATAATAATTACACATTTTATAAAGTCATGTTTTTCCTTGCAATACATTCTACATATTAAAAAATCTACGAAATTTTTCGTTTTAACAATTCATACAAGGAGTTTGTGTGGACGTAAGATGGGCGTTTTGTGGCAACGATCCTCAGTATAACCACATATAAATCCATACTCCACGCCCTAGTTTCCTTACTGGAGCATGTCAATAAAGTTTTTAGAGCTTTTATATTTAATTCTGACCTATTGTCAATAATAATATTGATCTAATAAATACTTTGCCTAAGTAGTTTGGGTTTATCAAGTTCAATTCGATGAAATGGTAGAAGTGTTTGAAATAGATTAATACTTTTGAGAACAACATCTTGATTATTTATTTTAAGAACATGAATTAAAACTTTTTGTACCTGAAGAACTATACTAATACCAAACATTTAATAAAGCAATCGATCAAAAAGATTTCGTTTATTGTATTCGAAATAATCTTTCTTTTCAATGACTGAACAAATGCCAAGTAAATATTATCGTATAATCAATGGACTTTCTATACTTGAAAGTTTATCAAGAATTTTTGTGAATGATTTTTCGGATAATTTTTCCATCTTTCTGTCATTCAAGAAGAAAAATAAAAAAAGTACTTGATCATAAAAAGGAGGATTATCTAAAGCTTTCACTAATCTAGAGATGGGCAAGTCAGAGGTTTTTGAGGTACAAGTCGAGACAAATCAAGATTCTAGAACAAAATTTCTCAAGTCAAACATGACTTGACTTGTCCATCTCTATGCTAATCTATATAATACTTCATTTGATATATCCTGATTATTTTTGACTAGATCTTCGAAAATTTCAATTAAGTTAATTACTTTACTTAATGCTAGAAATCAATTGATTGTTAATCTTTCTTCTTTGATTTCTTCATATAAATAAACGATAGCATCATTAGCATCTGGTAAACATGAACTGATAGCTTGTCTAGCCTCGTCCAATTCTAATATATGAAATATTTAATCTGATATATCTTGATGATCATTCGTCATAGTAAATAGATGGAATGTGCATGTGTGGGTTCAGATCATACTAACACTTTATACTCACACTTCACATCTACACGCGTACATCAACACTCCGCAGCAATACCATTCTGGCTTTCTTCTAAATAGGATGGAAGTTCACGTTCTGTGTATTTTCATGCATTTAGATTCATTCTTCTTTGGAGGAAACGTACAATTAGCAATACAGAAAACATACGTGGAAACGTATGTTTTCTGTATTGCTATAAATTGTTGAACTTTCCCTTCATACTGATTGCCCTTCTTCCTCAATTTTTTCTTTTAATAGATACTTAGCAGATTGACTATATTCCATTCGATCATGAATCATTCTCTCCTCATTCCAGCTCTTTTTTAACCATCGGAGTAGTACTAAACTGCAATAGAAAGAACGCGTGTGCACATGGTAAGTGGAGAAAGGGATAGAAGAAAAAAAGAGAACGAAAACCTATACTTTTCGATTTTATCTATGCGGTAGTCCTTTTCGCCATTACACTTTGCAATTCAATGTAATATTTTTGTCGTCGGCAAGCGCAACGTCAGGTAAATAAGACGTAAGCTACGCTAATAACGAGAAATACGGATTCATTGATCATGTTTTAATTGTTTGAATTTATTTAAAAAATCTTGTCAATATTTTTAACTTATTTTGTGTTTATTATCAACAAAATCACAAGTAAACTATGCACAAATTTTTTTTTATTACATGTAAAACTAGTATTTTTTTTTTCTTTTCGTTCTCCTTTTCTTTAACATTTGCAATATACGACAAGCATTTTTCTTCTTGCATTGCAATATTAATGAAAAGAAAAGCAAAAAGAAAAGAATACATTTGTTGTACATGTAATAAAATTATTTTTGTATCCTTTACTTTTTTATTTGTATTGATCATGGAATGAAGATCAGTGCCAAAATATTCACAAATTTGTTGAAAGAAATTTTAAAAAATTAAAAAAACGATCAATGAACTCTTATTACTCGTTATTAGTCTATTTAAATATATTTCATTGAACAAAAGTTACGCTGACATATTGATTATTTATTCCTAGTTATTACTCGTGTAGAATGATAACTATATGTGCAATTATTTGCTTAGCACTCATTCTTTATGTTGCCTATCGATTGTATCAGCATTTTTGTCCGTCGCCTAACATTGATCCCCGTGGTAAATATGTTCTCATTAGTGGCTGTGATACAGGCTTTGGTCATGCATTGGCTATTGAACTTGATAAACAAGGTTTTAATGTACTTGCTGGTATATACAATGCCGACAATAAAATTTCACTCACCAATGAACTTTCGTCACGAGCTGTTGTTTTTCGTCTTGACATTACTCGTCAAGAAGAAATCGATGCCGCATACGACATGATTAAAAACAAAACGAATATTCTTCATGCGCTTGTTAACAACTCTGGTATAAGTAGGAGTGGATACATCGACTGGATTACCGTTGATCTAATGCGTACAACTATGGATGTTAACTTTTTCGGTCATGTTGCAATGACCAAGAAATTTTTGCCATTGCTCATAGCTAAACGAGATTCACGCGTTGTCAATATCTGTTCAATCTATGGCTTCATAAGTGGACCAGCCAAGTCAGGTTATTGCGCCTCCAAATATGCTCTCGAATCCTTTTCTGATTGTCTTCGTCGTGAAATGATCCCCTGGGGACTACGTGTGAGCATCGTCGAGCCGGGCTTCATGCGAACGCCCATGATCCAAGGACACAATCCTTTCGTACGAAATCTGTGGACCCAACTTTCGGCCGATGTTAAAGATCGATGGGGTGAAGAATTTTTCAATGCCGAAATTAAACAGGTAGCTGCCAATGTATTCATTCGAAATGCTGAAAATCCTAGCAAAGTAGTGGAAGCACTTCGACATGCTGTCATGAATACAGTGCCGTGTATCCGCTATCGACCAGGTTGGCAATCAAGTCTATTCTTTTTTCCACTCTCAATGGCTCCGAGTTGGTTAGTCGACTTAATCATGACCAAATTAACTAGCTCAGGTGTTCTTCCTGCCGCTGTACGCAAACAACTTACGGAATAGACAACATAATCCACATCAATAGAATATCTTCTAATATAATAATAAATAGAGAAAGAGAAAGAAATCAAATTTCTCTATCACATAATAAAAGATTTAAGCAATGTTAGATTGATTCTTATGCTGCATATAATGTGCGAGATAGAAAAAAGAAGATTGAATTAGCGCCTCTATCCATTGATTCTATGCTGTTTTTAGTACAGGCAAATGCAATATATCACAGCAATTTTCAATATTGGATGTATGTGCTCCTTTTGCTTATTATATAGTGGCATAGCCCCTTCTTATCAATGAATGATTCACAGGAAAAGCAATATTCTATTATTTGATATATTGCTTATTGTCAGATTTATTTTCGATGTTTATGCTTTCTCTTTGCATGCATATAGAGTATGACAAAATTATCGACCTCACTAATACTTACAGATAAAAATTTTTATTTTATTTTTATAACAAATGATATTGATCTGCAGATAATACGGCAAGAGGTGGTACACAATTAATACTTGGTTCCTCATCTCTTTCTCTCTCTTGTCGTTTGTTATTAGAAAAGAAAGCTTGAGACGATTGAAAAATCATTGTTTGTTTCTCATTTTCGCCTTCGATCCAGGCCATGATCTCTTGATCGAATCGAATCTTCCGTCTATCGGTGCAATTGTTCTGAAATGATCGATCGATTCCTCTCAGTAAGAATGTCGACTTATTATATTGTTAGAAAGAAAAAAAAAGATCACGTTGTGCAGTTGAAAATGGATTGTAACTGAACGTGTCCTCTCATTTGAGAACATAAAATCGAGATTCAAAATCTGTTAAATACAATTTCATCTGTTTTTAAATTCAAGTTTTTCAAATTTAATATAACCTTAGGTCTCAAATTTTTGTTTTTTTAAAATTCAAAAAAATTACTAATAAGAATTTTAATACAACTTAAAGTTTCAGTTATAGTTTTAAGCTTGCTGAATTGTACAGAGAGCTAAACTACAATAGTAAATCTTTTCTGTTGAATTACTGCAATTTATAGATTTCGTCAGACATAATTATTACTATGAATGCCATCAGCTGTTTTTGATTTTGAACAGATCATATAATTATAATTGTGAAATGGAATCAAACACTGAACGGGGTGTGGGTGTGGGTGTGGGTGTGGGTGTGTGCGTGTGGGTGTGAAGAAAAGACTCACACCCACACCCACCCACACCCACATACACCCACATCCACATACACCCACAGGCACGCCCACCCACCCACACCCACACCCGCACCCCACACCCACACCCCACACCCACACCCCACACCTACACCCTTATTGACCTCAGTTGTATGCGAAATTACTTCCGTTTTACCGAAAAATGACAGTAGTAGTCATATTTTTACCAAAAAAAGATATCCATACGAATTTCCCACTATTATGCCTCGTACAGTCACTTCCAGCTCAAATAAAAGTAATTTATTATATCAAGAAGGTTAATTCAGCTGACTCTTTCTCTATCATCATGTTTATGGATATGGGAAAATCTTTTATGTTTTGATGTATATCTTTGTCTTGTGGGTAGATAATATAATTGATGGGAACGATTTTTACTGATAAATACACAAGGAAACTTCAATCGCTTCATTCAGCACTCCAACATCATCACAGATCAACTCAAGCAAGCGAATTCAGGTAGGATACAAGTGATAATACTCTTTTATTTTATACTTCATTTCGATCAATATCATCGAACAACAGAGAATCAGCCATCGGTTCATGCACACATAGCTTCCTGAACCGATAGTAGACATATTTTTGAATAGTTATTTTTTCTGAAATCAGTATAAAAACAGTCTCTCTAAGCGAGACACCATTTTTACATACAGTATAATCATGAAACAAAACTTCTTCGCATGCCTTATATCATGAAAATACTAGGATCCGAACGAAAAATCTACATACTAACCGAATCAATCATATCAACTGAACGAAGCTTTGCTCTTATCGATTAGCTCGTATATAACAACGCTCGTAGTCAATGTGAAATGTTTGTATTTACAGCATCTTGTGTGTTTTTCAATGACTTATACTAGAACTATGGTTATCGATCTAAGATTGCTATTTTTACTGCGAACAAAGAAGTTTCAAAAACTCAACAATTCTGAAAGATCGATAGTTTATTCTTATAATTTGTTTTTCATCCGAAACAGAATAATTTAACAAATTTCGTTTATGTAGAACTTTCTTTGAAATAGATTGTATTGATTCATTACTTTTGTTTAAATTTTGCATTTATATTTGTAGATATCAAAAGTTCAGTGTGTACAATATATATATAGAGTTAAACAATGCAAATTAGTGTTATTCCAACTATATTTTTGGTGTTCATAGTAATAGGATTTGGACAAGGTGCAGCTGTTATTGAGTCAAATGAAAAGCAAGTGTTTAACGACAATGAATTGGTATTAGGATTGAAAGAAATTGTGAAGCCAACGCAAAATGATGAAATAACACTCACAAGACATAAGCGAGGTACATGTTGTCACATTTTTAATACTAAATGCTGCTGTAAAATTGATGATGTCGTTTGTATTAAAATTGGCTATGCCTGGTTTGGTAATGACCAACCTTGCTACTATCCAAATGGTGCGCAAACACTTGTAGGCTACGTGAACTGCAACGGATGTACTCTAGGCTGGCAGTGTTAAAGACTATTCTGATAGAATACGACAAGAGACGATTAATTCTTAAAACTCTTATTATATTTTATTCCATCGACTGAATCAAGAAAGTTTTGAAATAAAATATCTTTATGAGTATGTTGTGTCACATTTATTAAGTAGTTGACTTAGATGGATTGTCTTACCATGTTCTATAAGGTTCTGTCAATGGTTATGAGAGTCCAAGAATCCGAATCTGTAATCAGATTCTTGAACTATATCACTCCAATTTTTCATAAAAGAAAGAGTTCAGAAATAAAATAAAAATCTTTTTTCAACTACTAGTGAAGGTAATCGAAGTCAGATGCTATAAAGAAGTAAGTATTTCCTCGAACTTTGACAGTTGTTTTTCCTATTAAGGTTAGAGTTTTAGGGTCGAATGAAGGCATTTTATCAAGTTCTAGAAAAAGTAATCCGAATCAGTAATCATTATTATGAAAACTCAGCACTTCATTTTTTCCCTAAAGAAAGGCTTTCGTTCGCAAGTAACTTTTCTTGTTCCCTCTAGTAAAGAAAGCATGCTACGAAATGAATTAAGTGTGTTTCTGTGTATTTTTGTTCGCATATACTTATTTGATCACTTGTCCAGTTCCGTTGCTTTAGGTTAACAACTGACCTTAACAGGGGTGGAGGGTGAGAGAGTATAAGTGTTGATACTAAGAAACTCCCACCGACACCCATGTCCATAATCCAGAAAAGCTGTACCGATGGATTTCAAGATGCATTGATGATGAAAATTGGAATCTAATCCATAACATGAACCGTTTATTACTTTTTTGCATCTTGAAATCATTCAAGTAGCTACTAAACTCTGAGTAAAACATATAGTTAATGAATTTTATAATTTCAACAATTTTCAAGACAAGGTCTTATCAGGATTCTAAGCAGTCTACCAAAAACAGTTTAGAGACGGAACATTTTAAGGAAACAACAACAATTTTGTGAAGATTGGAACAAGGTGTTAAAAATGTTCTAAGATTTGTCCCAATGGTTTCCTGGCCAGTTCTTCTGATTTCAATTTTCAGCACTTCACTACGATTTTCAAGAAGTGTTATTCAAATATCTTAGCAGTACCTCTGTAGGAATTTCTAAGTAGAAAAGAGGAGATATGAACACATACTGTGTTAATCTCTAGATCTTCAGCTTAAAACATGATCTCGTTGTTGCATCTGATAAAACCACAATAATTTATCATCATAGCTCCAACTATTATTCCTGGTAATGTCTTGAGTAAGATCGAGATCGAATCCTGATAGGATCTCTCATACTTACTTGATAAATAATCTCAGTGAGAATCTGAGCAAATCTAGAGAAGGGGATCGTGCTTCGAAATTAGATATCCTTCAAACCAATGATACTAAAATTCGAAACAGAATTCTCAATGAAGCTTGACGAAAATATTTCGATTGAGAATTCTGTAAGGTTCTGTCAAGCTTTTCAAAAGAATAGCAGGATTCGTACTAGATTAACAGACTTCCTGAAGTTGCGACAGCCTTTGATCAAAAGGAAAGAAGAGAATACTGGCGTATCCATCAATACTAATAGATTATACAATAAACTTATCGAAATGTATTAAAAGCTAACATAGTTTACCGTGACGACTATAATTTAACAAGACCCACTACCATTTATTTAAAGATAATCAGAACGCAGCAGAAACTATTAGTAATTCCAGTAATATGAAAACGATAGAGGAAGCACGGGTCCTGAGAAATTCTAAGAACGCACACAGTCCATGATGATATGCTATAATCTACCGTAGCAAGTAAGGATCTCAGTGTTCAGTAGCAGCCTCTTCTTCCTATTCATAAAGTTTGAGGCCATTTTTTGCTTTTCTTTACTTACTTTCTTTGAACCCTGATGGATCGTCGCATTTGTTAAGATCGGCTTGGTTTCATTTTCTTTTGAGGGATCCTTCGATAAATATATTCTAGAATACATCAAGATCCATCATGATCTACTTTTCTGAGAATGTAATAATCGTTAAGTGCTCTGGGATGTGTATGTTCCATTTTTGGAAAACTTTTTCTTTATCAGAGTAAAAATCTTTCTTTTATATTGTAGAATAGAAAAAGTGTAACGAGACTGATAAACCTACAAAACATCACTTCTCTAACTGAAAAAGGTAGTGTCAATTCTCGATTTATTTTAGCACCGACAAATCAGTCAGCAATTTTCCCTTTTGCACACTGATGCCTTGAAGGTTTAGAATGATTTTATTTCGACACTAAACAATGTGACGCATAGGAATTGTTTTCTGGTTGCATTTCGAGAAAAAATTAATTTTAAGTAAACATAAGTGACTTGAGAAG